TTTTCTTACTCCAACAGCCTGACCAGACATAGATTATCTCAACATGGTTTGACTCGTACTGGGCCTACAACACAACCAACAGGAACTGAATCTATTGGAACTGCTCCATCTGTCTCCGAGAGTGAGGCTGCAACCAATGCACTCCTTCATATAATACCTGAAAGTGGAAGTCATGGAGTACAACAGCCCCATTCAACCATCGCTCTCACGCAGCATCCTCATACTGCTGGCTATTCTCCACTCTTCTACAATCCAGAATCAGGACATCATAGTTCAAATGTGACTTCACACCCCCAGCATCTGCACTACTCAAACCCCACTATGGGTCCCCTCCAGCTTCAACAACCAATCAGCGGGAAGCAGCTAATTTATTCAGGGGTTCCAAGTAACAATGTTCATTCCACTCCACCTCATATCCACATTTCACCACCCCAGCACTCTCAACATCACCAGCAACAGCACCCTTTTTCGATGCAGTCTCAACATCTACAGCAAAGCCCTCAGGCCCAGGGAGATGCCACCCAGAGGAAGAAAAAAAAAAAAAAGAAAAAATATAAACTGACTAGTAGCATGCAGTTGATGACTGGATTCAATGCTTACGAAATTGCCAGGAGGCATATGTATTTAAAACGAAAGAAGTGCAGGCTTCAGCAGCAGCAAAAGAGGAAGAAGTGGATAGCTCAACTGAAATGGGCCAAGTTTACTGGAGGAGGGCTTGGCTTAAATGTAGGTGGAGGCACATGGCGTGTGGGGCGATTAAGGTTTAGAGGCCTACGGTCTCTTATTGTTCCCTTAAAGTCATATACTTGCCCTATCTGTCCCTTTACCACTTTTTCAAGCCGCATAACTCTTTCAGTGCACCGTGTATCCAGGCATCCGCCAAGAAAACATGGCCGTCGGACTCGTCTGCGCTGCATAGTCTGTGGAAAACGTTCTCGAAGGCTACTGACAGCTCTCCGTCATCGGGCCCACCACCTGTCTCAAGGGGCATTCTCTTGCTCTCGATGTCCCTCTCGATTCTGGAATGGCACCCTCCTGCAGCGCCACAAATTTGCTTGTCGGTGTGTCAGTAGAGGAATCAGAATGTCAATAAAGGGGACTAATGTTCAGAAGGCAGAGGACCAGACTGAAAGATCAACAGTTGTGACAGGTTACAGGCACTAAGTAAAGTGGCATCTGAGATAGTAGAAGGCCTATAAAAACTGATGTTTTCGAGGCAAGGATCACGTGCAAGTAGGCATAGAGGACTTTGCTGGAAATCGCCACACATTCAACTCCTTAAACGTGGTCAGACTATAACCAAAGGAGTGCCACTTCAAAATAAAAGACTCAGTTCACGTGAAAACAAGCCTGTACCTAAAGAGCCATCCATTATAGACACGGATCTCTAACACGGTTTCTCCAAAGGGGAAGAATATTCTAGATTATGGAACTTTTTTTTTTTTTTGGTAGCACCTTTGTTGTAATGGTAGCATCTCTATCCTCTAAAAATGCATTCATTATGTATTTTCGTAACTTTATTTGTGCTGCAATGATGGATGCATACCAGTGAAAGTGAACTAATTTGAACAGTAACAATCTATTCTCTAAACTAGTTTCCCCCCAGTACTCAGAGCTTAACGGTATAGCCTTTGTTTACTCTCAATTATACGTAGCTTTTTTGTTCATCGTGGTGTTGTTTTGTTCCCCCCCAACTTTTGCTGTCTTCATGTTAAAATGCAAATGTTTGACCTGGAACTGAAAGTTACTGGTTTTGGGAAGAGAATCAAGTACATAGTGTGTGTATTCCCTATGAACAACCTCAATTATGACACTCCATGTTGAATTTAACAATGTCTCAAAGAGGACTTGCTGCAGTGAAACTGTCAAAACGTGCAAAATATTCTGCAGAGCTGACGCGGAGGGGACAGAATGGTGTCGCTAATGCCATGTTCCTGTGTTTAATGTCATCTGTTTTTAAGAAATGTGTAAAGAAACCTTTGCAGGTGTTTCTATGGCAAGTGTTAATGTCTTTGGTTGTGAGATTGGCTAGCGGGAGTGAGGAATAGCCAGTCTGTACTGTACAATGCGTATTATATTTTATTAAGTAACAGTTCTTTCTTTTTTATTATTCAAAGTATACTTTTTTTTTAATAATTTTTACTATTTTAGGGGTGGGTGGGTTTGTGGCAGGGTCTGTCATTGTAAGATGTGGGGAATATATGTATCCGTGTGATTTTTGTTCCCTGCCCCTTTGATCTGTTAACCCAAACCACAGTTTAGCCCAGCTTTCCCAACACTATTGTATTCATTCTCAATACTTTACTTAGCTCTACTGTCCCAATGTTTTCCTCTCAGTAAACTAAAATACAAAATATAAATACTAAACAGCTGTTTTCTTTTTCTGAGTCAACAGTAATGTTGAGTTTCTCAGAAAGCAAATAAAAATATTGAAAATGTACAGTCTTTGTTTCGAGTGTTTTGTATGTTCTCTGGAATTTTTATGAGAAGCAGAGTGTTGCCTCTTTGTGACGGTAAGCAGATTGGGTTAATTGGTTATGGCATATAAGTTAAAAGATTTATAAACATCAAATGAGAGGATATGACCAGGTGTTGTGCACCTGGTGCCATGGTGCTGGATGTGTTGGTACAAGCCCTTTGCAGTGCCACACAGTATTAGAGGTGGAGGGAAGAATGCCCTTAAGGGTACTTTGGTTCGGTGTGTCAGAGGAACACGACCGTCTGTTCACTTAGTTTCTCTCTCGGTTGTCTCCAAGCAAAAGTTTAATGTTCAATACAGGACATCATCTCACATGACCTTAATTGAAATTAACATGAAACTGCAATTTGCAAACAATGTACACTAGGTGGCAGTAATGTTCTCTGTTGCAATGTCCTCCAGAATCAAATCAACTCGATTTGCCTGGCAAGGCTTGTACAGTGCAGGCTGTTGGACACAATCATGCACAATACCAACAATTCTGTGTTTTTCCCCCCAGGATCATACATATGTTAATTTGTTTCCACATCTGTTACTTTGTATTCTCATGTTTTGTTTTAGAATGGTTCTCCTTTACATTCAGGTTGAAAAGTCATAGTCCATATACAGGTTTCCTACAGTCAAGGAAAACCTGGATTTATCTGCAATTTCAGGTTAAGTTGTGATATATTGGCCTGAAAAGTTTATAGAAATTTACATAGCGAATGTAAATCTTTCTAGTTTTGCTAGTTTTTTGTTTCTCTCTCTCTATTTATATATATATATAACTCTTATCCAGTAGTAACTGCATTTCCCCCATTTTTTTTTACCAATTATTTTCCATGACCTTTTCAGTTGTTTATCACTGGTTAAACGCCTTTCAAAACCCACTTATGAAGAACAATTTCTAGCCAATGAAATACTGAGCTGAGCATAACTAGAAAAAGATATACTCGCTATAGAAATTTCCACACCTTTAAAAAAAAAAAAAAGATTCTGCCAGGCCTAAAAGTCACAATTTCAAAATTCTCTCATATTTCTAGGTTCTCCATGACTGTGCAGACCCTGAATCATTAAGGAATGAAAGCCAATGGAAATTCACTTGTTAAAGGGGGTTCCATATATGTATATAAGTTACAAGCTTGTTTACTATGCAGTTGAAAATCAAATCCAGAAAGTTCTTTATATCTTGCCCTTTGATGCATACAACTTAATAAGGATCAGATGTTTCAATATTATTTCAAAGAGATATTATCATAATTTCACACTTTAAATTGTGCATAGTAAACCTATCAGCTGTGCAGTCAAAAACGGCAGTCTATGCATAACAATCCCTGTGGATGGAACCTTCGTAGTATTTGTTTTCATTTTTAAACACGCAAAAGCAGATTCTATTTGATCTCTGCATCTGATAAGAGTTGCCGGCACTAATCAACAAAGATCTCACCAAGCCGCCTTTGCATGTTGTTTTACTCCCATCTCACGCGGCACTAGCATGGGGAGAACTCTGGGAGGAGCGACTGACCTAGTTTTGTCCAATCGGATCTCGCGAAGGGCAGATACTGACCTACTTTAGACCAATCGCGTGGAGGAGAGGCCGCCGGTAGGTAGCGATCGCGCGTGCCTGAGCCATGTGCTTGCTATGAGGTCTAGTGCTGGCCTTAAGGTACTGTAGAAATACATTTGTGTCGGCCAAACTGACATGCTCACGTTTTTTGACTTATTCTAGCCAATGACAACTAGCAATAAATTAGAGAATGAATGAATATGATGATGGTTAGAAATAACAGCGTTACTAAGAGTAGCAAGTCTGGACTTGGACGGACCAGACAAATGTTATTGCAATTCCAATAGTAGTCTTTTGTGTCTTTGCAAATATTGATTTTTGTCATATCTGTTTACATTCGCAGGCACGTTCTCATAGACAGTATAGCTACTGTATACTCATTGCAGCCCAGCAGATCTTACTAGGCAACATCTCTAGCGCATATAATGATAAATGACGTGACGCTCTGTCAAAGTTACAAATATGATTCTTACAAAATGTCTAAAATACACATTTATTATGACTAGTGTCAATTCAATGTCCGATTTAAAAGTCATTTTGACATTTTTAGTGAGTCTTAAAAAAACTAATTAAAATGATTAAGATTGTTCAAGGGAAAAGGAAGCAAAGTAGGAGTAAGTAAAGCATTTCTAGTCATGAAATCAAGATTTTTGAAGGCAACAAAACAAAAATGCTAAGAATACATTTCTAAGAACCAGTCAGTTTTTAAAATTATTTTTGTCATTGACCCGCACATGTAGCTTTGTCCTTTGTCCTGTTGTTGGGATGTATGTAGCCTCCCGGTCAAATTAGTTCGCTCTGTGAAGATGTAACGGCACAGAAGGTTAGTGAAAACAGCGGTGGTCTGACATTAATATGTACACAGGGACACTTTCTATTGGCCAGAGCGGCTCGTTTATCATATTGTGGGCGTTAACCGAGGAGGTGTGTACAATGAATAATAAATAGCCCCGCCCTTCGGCACCGTTCCCCTGTGAGAGGTGATGTCACGAGCGCTGCCCGTGTACGTTCCAGCTGACTCTTGCTACGATACCGAGCGCTCGCTTTACCGAGTGCCCGAAGAAAGAAAGAGGTTGCGGAGGTTAGCTACAAAAATATCGAGAAAGAGAGAGAGAGAGCAACAAAGAGGGCAGAGGAATAATAACAGCCATCAGTCTTAACCGTCACAGCTCACGTTTAATTGTTTATTATATTCTGAAGAGGGGAACCATCTTTTTATTTGCACACGGAGTTTTTCCAGCTCTCTCGATTCGATTTAGTCTTATATTATAGTTTACTCGCAGTTTCCTGCCGACTGTGTGGGACTGAATCGTCTCTGCCTTCATGGACGCCCGTCTAATCCAACTCATTCGTTTTTTCGGGGAATATTTCTGTCCTGGACGCGAGGAGCACCAGTTAAATGCGATGACATATGTCAACAAATAAGCGGCGATCCCACGGAAGGTTTACTGAAAGCGAAACAATCGGCCCAATATTCTTTAAAAGGAGCCAGTGCGTTTGAACAGGATGTTGATCTTGAACTCCGGGATCTTTCTCACTTGAGAGGACCATACAGGACGTCAGTTCACTTCAGTTTCCTAATGGGAGCGCATTAGGACTGTGAATACGAATTTTAAATGCTCAGAAACTTCCATACACCCCCTGATCCAAGGCGCGAGGCGTTCGTTCGACTGCCAAACTCTGTTTTTAGAACATTTCTACTTTTGATTGGAACACTTGATTCAGTCAACCAGCTCAACTGTCCAGTGATCTGAAAAGTTATTAGCTGGTTGAACCTGGACTAAGTGTTACACCGAGGAATGTCCAGGCCAATTTCTCAGCTATTGCCACCTGACCTTCCAGCAGGGGCCAGTCCACAGCTCGGTCCTGCTAACCCTGCAGGTACCACCACCAATGGCCACCTGAATAGTTCCATGGCCAGTCTGAAATCCCTTCTTCAGCTGCCTATTAAAGGGGACCAGAGAGGGAAAGACTGCTGTGCTGAGATGAAAGGTGACTCTCTATCTCATCCACTAATCCACTATTACAGTCTTTTAAATAGTGTCTTTGTTAAGATTATCTGTTATCGACGATGTCATTTTGCTTAAAAAGAATGTTGGTGTAGGTAAATCACAAATAGAGAGCAGCAATATAACTTTTGCTGCCTCACACGAGCTCTAAACTGATCTACCTCAGTTCTGTGCAACCAGGAAACATCTTCTATTCTTCACTCAGTCAGGCTGCTTCCTCAACTCGATGGCTAAATCGTTGACAAATGATGTGAATTGACGGGTTCACTACAAATTAAAGAAATGTAGGGCCTCTCCCCTCTCTTAAAGGGATTTCTGAAGCTCCTATGGCTGCCATTAAAGGGATGCCATCCTAAAATGCATTGAGTTGTTGCCTTAATACGGATGTACACATGGCGCCCTCCTGTGGATGATACAAGTCACTTCGGCTTTATAAAGGTTAAAAGTAATCAGGAAGGGGTGGATAAATACTGTGACAACACTTTAAAGGGACAATATGTAATGTTTGCCACTAGAGGGCGCGTATTCAAAATAAGCAAATAGACAAAGGCGTAGTTTGATCATTTGGGATAATGTAAGTACACAAGTCAGCAAAATATATAACACTGTTCTAGTGGTTTTTGGATATTTGAATAAAAAAATCTTACATATTGTGCCTTTAAGGAAATGGCCAGCATTGTATTATCAAAATGTATTTGTTCATTCTTTAAATATGAGTTTGTTATTGGTAAATTTTCCACTGCTGTGCTTTGTTTGGCTCTGCTGAAAACTCCCACTCTCCACCAATATCCTTCTTTCTCATTCTATTTATTACTGCGGTTTCCCACTTTCCATTTGTGTTGTAGAGTAAAAACCACCGCGTTTTCCCAGCTATCACTATGCGATGCATATTCCCAAAGCTTCATCTTCAAAAGCCCCTGTGCTGGAGATGACAGCTCATCTCTCATGAAGCACTCACATTTACCAGTACGACCCCCCCCCC